AAATAGTTAAGGTGTTAATTGGGGATTCTTTCTTTTTTTTTTTTTTTTTACTTGATTTTGGCTATATTTTGTATGTATGTTTGTTTGAAGATTTTGTAACAGTGGCGGCATGGATGATAGTCACAAGGAGAGTGGCATTGGTGGCAGCGGCAAGGTTGAGATTATGTCAGTAGTAATTCCCGTAGAAAAAAATAGTTAAGGTGTGATTTATGTTGTTTTAGCTTTAGAATTTCAGGGGCACAAATAGTTAAGGTGTTATATGGGACTACTTTTTTTTATTTTTTTATTTTTTTTAACTTGATTTTGGCTATATTTTGTATGTATGTATGTTTGAAGATTTTATAACAGTGGCGGCATGGATGATAGTCACAATGGAGAGTGGCATTGGTGGCAGCGGCAAGGTTGAGAAGTGACAATGTTGTGGTGACCAGCTAAGCAAGCGACAATGAAGGTGATGTCAATGACAATGGGTGTTTGAGAGCAAGTGACTAAGAATTCATGTTTTGTAAATACCGAGAATGCATAGAAGTTATAAGTTTATTTAGAAACAAACTAATCTATTTTCAAAACCAAAAAAAAAAAAAACTAACCAAGCATGTTTTTTAAAAATTAAATCAAAATCCAAAATCTCAATGTTATGCCAAATAAGCCATAAGAAGACAGATTCTTACATGCTTTGAGGGAAAAATCACAAATCTAACATAAATAAAAAACTTACATGATTGATATAAATGGGTATTAAGAGGTGGCCAAGCCTCGAGTAGTGTATGGGACTTGTCCAATGTTGCAAGTATTATGACGAGGATGCTATGAAAACAAGTAATGAGACGCCAATGGAGCTGCGAGGGTCACATGTCTTCAAATAGATTCTAAATAATATTATTTGGCTACAACACGTTTATCACCACTTTATCTTTGTTCAACAAAACCATGTGCAATATCACTTGAATTTGTTGAGCTAATCCTTTACTTGAGGGAACATTTATATATGATTGGTTTTTAAAGAGGCGAAGTGTATAGGACTGTAATAAATGAGATTTGATTTGGAGGCCATTAACATACTCATTGGTGGTTGCAAAAAAAAAAAGAAAAGAAAAGATAAATGGTTACTAAAAGGAGTGGATCCAAATAGGAGAGAGAGATAATAGAGGAAGAGGAA